ATGTGACGGACTGAAAAGTTAACAATTAGCCGGTCATAGTTTGACTCACTTTCTATGTGTACCTGTCAAGACATATCATCTAAGCTTGGATTTTACCCGGGGGATTTTAAAAATGTCTTTTCTGAGTGAAAGAGCTTGCCGTGTTTGGTTGACTAGGCATCTTATTGGCTTTAACACACAACTAATGGCGCAATACAAAGGCGTAGCCAAGCGTAGATTTAGATGTAGCGATATAACCCGATCGTCTTCGGTCACTAGGTTCGCTTTTCTCTGGGTATAGGAACAATTGAAGGCTTGCTATCTTTTTAAAATTAAGTTAAACCTACTGTGAGCCTACTTTATCTTTAGCAGGTGTATATCAACGCTTGTCTATAAAAAGCATCAATTACGAAATGTAAGCGATGTGTCATTACGCAACATAAAAGTTACCATGAAATAGTGTTTGCCATCATCTGCTACACCTCCGATGACTATATCTGCTCCAATCATTTGTCCTCGACCTGCAGAGATCCCAAAACCAACCCATCCTGTTGTCAAAGCTTCCACAGCAAATGTGACTGTTTTGGAATCCCAGTCAACGCTCCAGTACAATGTTACGGTCGCTGCTTCGTCCAAAACGGCAGAGTTTGTAAATTCAGAGGAGAGATCACCGTTGATAAACTTCGCTTGAAAAGTTCCAAGGACTACAAACATTGAGACCACAAAGGATAACATCATTTTGACGATTCTCCAACCGACATTCAGCTTAACAGTGCAAACATATTTAGTCGATTTACTGCGCAGGCATAACTCAAGTTATTTTAAATAAAGATGGAACAAAAGATTTAATAAGGACGAGCCCCTGGGGCTAACGGAACAACAAGAAAATTAACATACTACTTTCAATTTGGAAACAAAATGATACATAATCGTAGAGTGCTGGTTTGTTTCGATCACCTAATCTGTAATTTCTCCAGTTAATTTGGTGTTTTTTGAAGAAAAGCTTTTAGGTTTTTCAGAGTCGATCAAAAATAGCTTTCCCAGTTTTTCCTTTTTTATCGTTTTTAATCATCATCTCCAATGTTTGCAGCGTTGTCACGTAGGTGACGAAAACATTATTTTTTATTGGCTCCCTAATGCCAAGTTCATTCAACACTGAATTTATGGGTTTAATTCCAAGCTGAACTTTTTGTGCGTTTTAATGGCTTCTCGGCAGGCAGGATCAACAAAACATAGAAATTTACATGAAAAGGATGAAAGGGTCGGAAATATGGCTGTAAACCATACATAAACTTCGCTCCTAATCGGAATTGCACTTTAAGTTATACCTTAAAAGGCAGCCAATGAAAATAAAAACAAAAAAAGTACTAGACCCACTTACGCAGATCAACGAGAGAGCGTGAGCACGTAATTGTGAGCATGAACTGCCCTGAGGCGTGAGGACAGAGAGACATCTCCCTCTTTCTACTGCCGAGGTGTTTCCGCGAGCGCTCACTCCACTTAAATACTCTTCTAATGTCCTGGCCAATTCAAAGCTTAANATCTACAGCTTAAACTGCACGCGCTACATCGCTTGCGCGCGAGACACCCCTGAAGGTATACTGTAACCTTAAATTGAAGTTTTGTTGGTCAAATCACCATTGCTAGCCCTCGGACCAAATGTTTGAATCCTCAACCTCTCCCGGGGACATTTTGAAGGCCTATCTTTTCTAATCACAACGTTAACGTTACTGGGAGAACAAAGATGCCTTTTGGTGCCTTTTGTCAGTTAACCGTTATCCGGGGGCAACTCGCCCCCACCCAACCGCCCCCCCACCCGGCCACCTCACTCTCACCGGCCCCTCCTCTCTCTTCTCTTCTTTTTTCTTCCCGCTTCTACTGGGGAGCCTGCTAACAGGCTATAGCCTCAGATGCCCACAAGAATTTAGGTTAAGCTTATTGGCAACGCTTAATGTATAAAATAACTCACTTCTGTGAACAGATTTACGTAGCATAAATGGGGTGGTCGAGCTAATAGGTGCGTTATTTGGAGAAACGTTTCATCTGAGAATACTTATAGAGCTTTGTTTGGAGAAGCCATATTTGTGCCCCTCGAAGGGCCCTAGTATCACTATACATGTACGGCGGCCGTAAAGCTGCCGAAAAAAAAAAATAATAAAAACTGTGAATGTACAAGTAAATAAAGTTATTGTTGTTGTTGAAACATCTGTCATTTTAATATATAACAACAAAACGTTATCACTCTCTACTTCGTCTAATCATAGTCAATAGAGGGAAATGGTTATGAAGCCCGGCAAACATCAAAGGAGCAAACATCAAGCCAAGATTTATGTTGAAAGGTCCACGACCGTGCACAATCTTTTGTTTTGCGCTCATACACTACGCATGAGTTACGTAATCAAAACATTTCTTTTGGCTAGTTCCTCGTAATTAGTAAACAGCTATTGTGTTTTGTACACGGTTGAGGCCCAAAAAGAGAACAAAAACATCCAACAAAGAACTTTGTCGAGTGTCATAACCATTCCCCTCTATTAACCATTTCTAATTCGAGGACTCTCTCCGGCCGCCATTTTAATGTCACGCAATGCAAACAGTTTAGTATTAAAATTCAGCGTGAATGCTCTATCACAATGCAAATAACCATGTTGAGCGGGGAAAAGAAAATTGTGAAACGTCAGGTTCTTAGCGGATTTTACATCTGATGAAACTAAGAACTCAGAGGGATTTGTGTCATGATCTCTTGATCTTTTATTTATCATGATTTATGCATTATTTTTCATTTCCAGCAATACACGACAACAAGAATTGCATTACTTTTTCCTGGTGTTTGGCGCCTGTGTAGCCCCAGTCCTCCCACCACTTCACGCTGACTCCGTAATCAGCAATTTGTGTTTTGAAATGGATAGGAGAGTTACTTCCCCAATGGAATCATGTTTAAATGATGGCAAAGACTCAGTTGGTCAGCTGACAAAACGTAGATCGTGGATGGTATGCAATGCCAATGGATGCTATCGACCTGGGTGAGTTTTTGTTTAGTTTGTTCGCAAGCAGCTTTAGCCAGAATGAGCTCACTTATTGTGCGCGACTAAATTAACTCACTCAAACGAGGTTCACATTACAGTACCGGAGCTGGTACTTCGTCTTCACTTGATATTCATTTACCATATCTACCCTACAATGAACAGAACTAACAGGCATACAGAGTGGCAGGTTAATGTTAAGTCAGTTAAGGTTGATCTCAAATCTGTCGTCACATATCCCTCAGATCTCTGTATTCATTTACCGTACAAACAGAGAACGAAATAAAAGGCTTGCTGTATTATTATATGAAGCTATAAGTTTTAAGCTTTATACAGAACCAAACCTTGAAACTGAAATTAGGTAATCGAACTATGAAGTCTGGTTTGTGCCCAATGTTCTGAATTTCGTTCCCGTAAAGTTCTTGATGTACATGTATATACGCGAATTCACCACAGCCGGCATGCACCGGTAAATTATCAGCTGCCAATAGATCAGACTTGATATTTACACTGGTGGACTTACTTTAAGTATACTGGTACGAAGTTGTTGCAAAGGCTACATGCATTGTTTGCCAAATTACTAAACAACTTAAGTTTTTTACAGTGGAACAAAATATAATTTTCGCTGGTGATATTGAGTAATGGAATTTTAATTAAGAGTTTCTTTTGATTAGTCCCAAGGGTACGATCGGTTGGCAGTTATTAACAAGAAAGAGATAACACTTGTTTTGCAATTTATGAAAATATATGGTTGTGGTATTGAGCCACCTTCTGAAAAGTTTATTTCAAAAATAAGTTGAAATCAATCAACTTTTTTTCTTTTTTTACAAAAAGCAAATATATGCATGTTTTCTACATTTTGTATTGTTTGAATATATACATTTAGCTATTTTTTGTATCGAATTTCAAATCTGTTAATTACTACATACACTGTTCACAATCACCAACAAGAGTTATTTTCTAAGGCGTCATAGTTTGAAAACATTGCCTGTGATGTCATGTACTGTTAATCCTGACATACTGCAATCGGTGTTGGTTACTGAGAAGTCAAATGAAGTGATCTGCCCACAAGAATCAATAGTACCTGTTTAATGCTAGTATTAAGCCAACATAAATAAGTGATTGTTCAAAGTTTGAAACTTATGTGCAGCAATTAGGAGTGTACATCACTTATTTGAAGATGTCGATTCACTTCTAGTACAGTCTCACTTTGATAAACTTTGTTAATTGTGCATTGTAAATTAATTTGACACAACATGAACATGGCATTTGAACCTTGAAAATTTCCTTCAAGATTACACAACCGTTCTCCCTTAACCTAGATCTAGGAGACACCTGTCTTGTCATAGATACTACATTGAAGTTTGAGTCATGTTAAGTTCCAGCATCTGCTATGATGAAGGGTCCTATTAGCAAGTGTGTGCTATTTTTCCTGGGGCCAATTGACATGAAGTGCAGAAACAGGTTGTCAGTTTGCAATGCTTGAAAATCTGCTTGAGGGGGCAGCTGTGTCTTTTCGTTTGTTTCATCTTAAGTTCATTCATTTCTTTATTTCTGGTTTGGTTTCTCATCTGCTGTTTTGTAATAAATAATTGTTTACAAGACTTAAACTACATGTATGTGTATATATAGAGCTTTTAACAAGCCTTTTTTTTTTTTAATTTTATGGGATTTTAGTTCCAGATAGCACTGGTCAGATATTCAGCACCAAAAGAAAATGAAAATAAAATAAAAAGGGAAATTCAAACATGGCATGTAACACCAGATTTAACGTCCAGCCTTTGGTCTCAGAATAAAGCCTAATATATACGCACGATGTGCACCTTTCAAACAGTTAAATATTTTATATGTACATGCATACATGTATAACTTGATCAAACATACTTAGTCTTTTACAGCAAAACCACAGTTTTATTTTTTATTTTTCCTATCATAACAAGGATTAGCTGTGATGCGCATTCCACGACATTAGACAAGTGCTCTTATTGAAACAACTTACTTGGTTGCTATTAGGCCTCAGTAACTTTTAGATTCTGGCCTAACTTCAACATCTCCCTTATCATTTTCTCTTTTAAAAAAAAAAAAAAAAAAAAAACCACAAAGAAAAACATCTTCCTTACCTACTGTACTATAGCTAAATTATATAAATTTGTGATAGCTATGACCAATATTATCATATCCAGCCATACACAAGTACACTCAAGTCAGAATATTTGAATTTCATCCCAGCTGCTAAAATGGTTACATTGACTGAAAATGTTGTATGGGATTGACATTAACATTTTCTCCAGCAACTGCTGTAACTGTTAGACTGACACACTGTATGAATTATTGTCAAAGAATATATAATATCAACATAATTTTTATTTTGATAGTTCAAGATGTGCAATAAGTACTATTAGGTATACTGTTGATAAATTAATGTAGACTGAAATTTTGGTTTTGTGTATTTTGGCAATGACTGTCATGGCTAAGTTCTTTAAATTAGCAACATCATATATTGCTTTGCAAAATACACATCTACATGTACAACCCACTGTCACCGAGTGTACCTGCATAAACTAATTCCAATAACAGTACAAACATTGATGGGAAAATATAGTGGAAATCATCAAATTTATTAAGTTACATGTATCTCTTTTGCCAAATGAATACAGTGTTTTGTTTTAGCCATTTGTCACTGTCAGGGAATTTTATTTTGCGATCTATCTGTTTTGGTAATTAATTCAGTCTATATTCCATGTCATGAAAATTCCCAACCTTCCAACTCTCTCATCCCTACAGCCTTTCTACAAGAATTCTTCATCTTAGTTCATCTTTTAGCAGTTTGGCTGAGTAGGGAACAGGCAGTAAGCCAGTTATGAGCCAGGCCAGCTCTGGGCCACCTGGTCAATGATTTTTTTCAGGCTTCTTCTTTCCAATTGCTTAAATTGGAAAATTTACTGCCATGGTCATTCTTCACTTTCATCTACAACTGCACTTCAGATATGAATTATTTCATATATACTTCTCATCATAGCATGAACTGAAGACTTATTTCGGTTAGGTGTTCAGTGAAAAATATATTGTTAATCATAACCCAAACTAGTACTGAAAATGTGTGAATATTGATGTTACATACATGTATGCTTATAAACATGAACTTAAAAGTAGTTTTCAATTGAGTGGTGAAAGTAATCGAGCAATTACTTTGGTTTTGGTTTTGGTTTTGGTTTTGGTTTTGGTTTTGGTTTTGGTTTTGGTTTTACTTCAGTTTGAGATTGGCCGAGTAGTCTAATTGGTAAATAATTGGTTTGGTTTTGGGTTTTACAACACTCAATTGAAAAATGTGCTAAAGATGGCTTGCTTATAAATAAATCACATCTATAGTTGTCAAAATGATAATCTTATATAAGTTTAATTTGTTTTCAGAGCTGGAGAAGCAAGGCCAAGGACGAGATCATTAAATCCTCCTCAACCAATGCCCAACTTTGGAAGGAAAGGACATCTGTGGGAAGGTGAAACTCATTGCAGGTTTGTTTTATAATGAAAACCGGGGATAAAGTTACTGAAAATAGGGTAATATAATACAGTTTCAATGCCTTCCATCCTGTACCTTATTATTAAACTAAGATTAACAAATTTTCTGTCTTTTGAGGAGGACTGAAATTTGATAACTTGCTCGACAATGAAATCACCACTCGGATTCCTTTTCAAAAATGCACTTAAGGCTCATTATGAGTGATACTGGATAATTTCCTACTGGTCTGTAATGTGTATTATTTAGCTTATTTTCAGTGTTTTATCTTTGGGCCCTGTACATGTATAGTTAACATGCATACTTAACTGGTATATAACTCGAGGAAGCCACTAACCACCTACGATGGATCAGCTTTCTAGTTTAATCATTTACATGTAGGTCTCCTCTCCACTTCAATGAAAGTTTTTTTTCATACGTTTTTGCACATTTATTCTTTTGTGTGGCAAATAACCCAACCCCATATTGTAAGATGTGAGATTTTTTCTCTACTTACTGTTGTTCAAACTATCAGTGAGTGCTGTGCACCTGCATATACAATACAATACAACTGTTTAATGTGAATGTATGCTTAGCTATGGTGGTGCACTACAGTAGTTCACCAGCTAGTTCACCAGCATATGATAACAAATATAAGCATCATCTGTAGATAATACAAAATCCACTTCAATTCCAGCATCACTGTGCAGATTAAGTAAATAGAAGTTTTGAGCAGACAACAATGCATTTTCAAGAGGTAATTTAGCATTCAAGAAGGAACAAGTGTGAAAGCCAGGTCAAGCGTTGTCAATAGAATTACTTTTGATACTATTTTCCAAGACCCGGTCTGGATTTTCCTATCTCTACCCACGGTCACAGCTTAGGGTCGTTCCGCAGCAAGTAACATATTTGTAATCAGAAGATGGCGGAAGGCAAGGAAACCTCGGCTGGTAATTTTGGTGGGGTTGTGCTTCCTCGTTCTCAAAAACCTGACCCTATGTCAACCTGCTCTTTATCACGCCCGTTTTGAGTTTTTTATTCAATTTGGTCTGCAAGACATAGTCACAATGGCAAAATCTCTTACAACTTACCTACTTTCAGACCAAAACGCATCAAAAACCATATCCACATGAAGTTCCCATGCAGCATAATACGTGTAGGTAATACGGGAGAACATCCCCCTCCCCCCGATAGGAATTATATATTGCATGAAAGTTTGTCTTCTCTAGACTTTTTATCTAGCTACGCATCTTAAAGATTATTAGTAGGAACCTTAAATGAAACAGCAATTGAATGACTAAATTTTTGGTTTACGTCTGGTTTCAAATAAGCAGAAGTTCCTGGATTGCTTTACAGATGCATTCTTTTTGCTGTTAACTAAAGTTGTCTGATGGCATTTTATTGCAGCTATCATAGAGCGGTTTTCACTTGAGTATCTTGCGCTACTTTGTCAGCCGATTAGAAGTAAAACCGTGACCAATTGTTACTTACTCGCGCACGTTTCCCCACGCGCTTCTCGCAGTCTATGGTCTATTATAATCCATCAAATATTTTCGCTCGCACGCGATTGGTCTAGACACGTCACGTGACTGAATATGCCCCAGCTAAAACTGGGGAATATCCGAGTGATATTCCCCAACTTTCAAATCCTGCGTGTTGCGAAAAATATTTGAAGGAGCCCCCATTAGACAAAAAAAAAAAAAAAGATCGGATTTTTATCCTTAGACATTATCTGTTCCTCAAAGCTCACAATTTTCCTCGAGCTACGCTCTCGGAAACCGTTGGCTTCTTGGAACAGATAATGTCCCCGGACAAATATCCAAGCATATTTCCGCGCCAAATGGAGGCTATTGTTTATATATTCGTATTCTCGGTATTGGACTGGAACTAGCTTGCAGTGGAGGCTCATGCAGGGGAATACCTGCATTAGCCTCAGTTACAACCTAGTTCCAGTGCAATGCCGACAATACGAATATAATTTATCTCTCTTGTGCCAATTAACTTCTTTATGAAATTTGTACATGTATATCTTTGTACTGCAGTTAATTGGATGATTTGGCGAGCGATTCTTTTATCAACATTTACACTGTGATAATGAAGAAAGTTCGTAATCTTCCATGTTGCTTTGAAGTGCAAAATGGAAGCACGACGTAAACATCTTAAACACATTTTGTTTGGCAATTATTGAACNTTTACACTGTGATAATGAAGAAAGTTCGTAATCTTCCATGTTGCTTTGAAGTGCAAAATGGAAGCACGACGTAAACATCTTAAACACATTTTGTTTGGCAATTATTGAACTTAGCCAAATATTGTGAGTCTTTTGGCCCTTGCTGGCGCGGGATTCTGCTCTCAGAAGCATCGAAACTAGCGAATTTCCATGGTGATTCCTCAAAGCTACTCTTAGTCAGTTGAAGATCAAGGTAAGTTACCTTGATCTTCTTTTGACTTTGCTTACTGATTCTCTTAAATTCTCAAGTAAATGTGTACCAAACTTACAGGAAGTTTCGAGTGTGATGAGTTCGGATTTAACTAAGATATGTCTAATGGTGAATGGAGCTTAAGACAGGCTGTGTAGAAAGACATATGATGCATCGTTTGAATGAAACCGATCAACTGGTTTCGAGTGGACCCTGGAATACCGTAAGGTAAACGAACCTAAGATAATCTTTTCATTTATGACGTTGTATAGGTACATGTTACTCATTTCTCAAATAATATCTTGCTCAAATATTACCACTTTGCATGTGTCGATCTCCGATGAATTTTTTATCACTGTTGGACACAAAATCTGGGCAACCAGTTATGAAAATTTTTGTCTATGCTAACGTGCATATGAATAAACAAGGGCCATGGATGTTTTTGACGCTACAATATTTACTCATTCTGCTCTCTTGACTGAGTCAAGTCGTAATCGACGCATCTCAGTTCCCCACAGTTTAGTCATCTTTGTTTAGCCGTGCAGTCGTCATATTCGCAATGCTCTCTGTTCTTTTTGTTTTGTTTTTTTTTTAAGTTTTCATAGTGAAGCAATTATATTTTTATTATTATTTATTGTTGCGGTAGTGAACGTCATCAAGCTTCCATCGTCGTTGAACATTGATTACTGTTGCAATTAATTGGTCTGATTTTGTTGATTTTGCGACTTCAGGTATTTTCGTTTTATTGACTGAGCCATTCCTTCTGTACATATATTTCGTTTCGATATGAATTTCGTTCGGGTCACACATTTTTTTGTTTCAATGCGGATTTTTTTTTTCAATGCGGAAAATATACGAGTTACCCACAGAAACCGCAGAAGCTAATAAAACCAGCATAAGATGACAAAGACTGAGTTTAATTAATAGACACAAGAACGCAGAAGAACGATGAAAATGAAGCGAGCTTGGCGCACGACACCGTCGACTCGGTAATATCCATCTGTATGGCGAAAACCTAAGATAATGCCTTCAAAGGCATCCCCGACAATGCCGAAAAGCAACCTTGATTGTCGTACATTTAGTTTATCGTTGGTTGATCGAAGTTCATGGTGTTTCGGGGTGATTGAAGTAAAAATAGTGAATGGCCTGTTTTCGTGGTTTGTACTTCCTTCAGCTGCGGTTTGTGCTTCAATCAGCAGCGGTAAACTGTCACTACCCATAATACCCTTCGGCTTTGACGCCCACGCGTTTCCGCGTTTGTGGCAGAGCGTTTCTCGAAAAGGCGGTAAACATGCGAGTTAATTTAGAGATGTCTCGATAACGTCATCTCTAAATTTTCAGTCACTAAGGATTAAAACGGGTCATTACCGTTCTTTATTGCTTGTTTGTTTACTTGTTCGTTTGTTTCTGTTTTCTTGTTCTGTTGCAAACAACAAACAACAACTTGAAAGGATTGTCAGACCAAAATTATCGGTACTTAGGGCACTATTCAAACAACAAGGCCAACTAAAGATGCATCGTTCCCGCCCAATGAAGAACAGGAATACTCGACCAAGTGGTCAATCCACTGAACCCTATTGATCTCACGTGAGATTATCGCTGTCATCATAAGCCTTGTTAATTAACGTCTTTGACGTAAACCTTGGGCTAAAGTCCTGTCGGCTTTTTTTGCGTCTACAATAAACGCAATAAACTAGAATAGATCCTCCTGGTTCCTGCAGGCTAACTTGGTCATCTCAGCCTTTTTTACTCCTGTTAAAATGGGAATGTTTTCTTTTAAGCTACGATTAGTGGCCTTTTTAAAAATGAAAATTTACTTGTGTTATTTAGTTAAGCACTGCTGCCTTAGTAGTCTGTTAATTTTTTAAACAAATGAAATCGTTCAAACATCACTAATTTTGATATTGAGTGCCACACATAAGATATTGGCTTGAAAACGTCAGAGAAACAAGCTATGAATGAACCTCTTTTGGGGGGGAGGTGGGTAAGGAGGTTGTGGATAGGGTCGTGAAGTACTAATAGGATAGCTTTATCTAACAGCTAAAGTACAGTGTAAGATGAGGTTTAACACGAGTTCTGTTGCTGCATTAGAACGGTCATCAACTACATGTACATGCAGTCATTGTTTGGAAACACTTGAGTCCTTTTATCCAGTTTTCGTGAAAGATATCGAGACTAACATACACGCAGCAAAGTCAAATTTGGACATACAGTCGAACCTTTGTTAAGCGATAGTAAGTGATCACAAGTAACAACATTGAGACACACGTTTATTATTGTCTTCAAGTTCTTCCATATACTTACCTCAAAGCATGTTTGTATTTGAATAAACTGACGTTTCTA